TGACTCGTCCTTCAACCTCTACAAGAAAATTTTTAAAGGGCTACTTTATTTTTCCCCCCCTTCATTCCTGGCAAATGCACAAATATCTATCTGAGGTCACATTACTTAAATAGAAACTAATAGAAGAGCTGGTTGTACAAATACTTCACAATCTGGTCACAAACATGCTCTAAGACATGCTCGTCTGCCTTGGGTGAAATTCACCTTGGACAGAGACAAGAATTGCACCTTTTTAACTCAGAAGAAAGTTACTATCCACCTTGTGCTTTAGTCAAGCTAGAAATAGAGTGAACTGGGAAAGCAAAATAGGGATTTTAAGACTTCTGGCCTGCCAACTCTAGCTATTTATAGCAAAAGAGAATAATCATGGAATAAGGTGAAAATATTTCATTTTTATAGCCCTATATAAGATGAAGTTATCCTTAAGTGAATCATAGCCTCTGAACCAATAAACAATGGAGTAATGTGTTTAAAAAAGAAAAAAATATTAATGAAAACATGACTTTATTTGTCTCTTCTGGAAGCTTTCTGTGTCAGTTACAGTAGTAAACATGCCTCCTGTGAATCACTGGAGACGAAAAACAGACGTATACTTGGGCTTAAGTGGTTCATATGGGTTTGTAACAGTTTTGTATCTTTTGAGCATTCAGGAAAATCCGGCCTACAGATTTTGAACTGTGATTCTGGCTACAGAGGCACAACACATTCTTTTCTGTTTTTAATAAGTCTCTCTCTTTGTGCAACAAATCCTTCTAAAAAACTGCACCAGCAGTGCTAACCAATGGGTAGCAGCTAGAAGCTGTGGGGAGAGGAATTGCTTTGGCTGGACAGAGACTAAGGGATTTGTACACACAAATTTCTATTGTTTTTAATAGGAATTTGGCTTCAAAAATCTTAGCTTTCATATGTGTTCAGTCTCTAACAACTGGAGGTCTCTAACCCTTCATTCCTATCTTCCTGGATCAAATCCTCCATTGGCTGATGTACCAGCCAGGGGAAAGTAGATACATCGTTGTGCACATCCTTTCTTAAGATTCCTCCCTTGTCAGGTGCACTGTGCTGCTTTTCTGAACGAGAGCACCCACCATCTGCTGGCGAGAGCTTATAGCGGAAGGAAGGAGGGCCGGTATTTCACCAGGAGTGCAGAGGTTGCTTAATAACCTTAAGCAGGTTTACAATGTTATAGTGTGGATCAGTTTTTCCCTTTCATTTTCAGTGGCTTTTCCGAAGATTATGAGAGACTTTATAAAAATACAGAGCCCTTATATGTGTTATCATTATTCCATACCTACTGGCATACTGCCATTCTGATTCTCCCGTGCAAAATAATGTAAGGAAACTGAAAAGTAAATGTTTATGAAAAATTCATGAATAACACCAGAAATTGATTACCTCAGTTTAGTTCAGATGGAAAATCTGAATGAAAACCCAGAAACTTAAGTATATAACAAGGGGCTGCTAATTTAATTTCTGATGACCTAAGTGACTGAGAACTTTAGAATGATTTACAGTAGGCTATATGTTAGTTTAATGCATTCAGTTCATCACTGGGTTGCTTGTAGTGAATATAATCTGGTAAGGTGATTGTAGGTGATGATAAGATAGTTGCAAGCAAAAGGGAAGCGTTTGCAATGACGTTTACATTTTCTCTACTCTTTCAAATGACATAAATTTATATGGAAGAGAACTAGATGCACAGGGACAGCATTAACTACTACATATGCCGAGGAAAAATTGCAAGGGAGTAGATTCCTGAGGTGCGGTCAGATTAACATATGTTCAGTGTAAGTTTGTTAATGAGGCAGATGTCAGAGAAATGAATAACTTAGAAACCTTGATCAAGGCATCAAGACAACGGGACACATCATTTTGACACAAAGAATTTTTACAGATTGCATGGGACTGGCAGTACTCCAGTATTAGTTCCAGACTGAAATGAAATTCCATTCTATATCTTTCTTTGTGTTAGAAACCTGAGTACCAAGTGGTTATTGCACAGAACTATATTACGTGCACAATTTAAGCACACTGAGTACAGTACACGATTATAGCTCTATTTTAAAGCACACTTCTCTTTAACATGTTTTTACTTAGAATGGCTCTGTAGGTTAATATTGGACTCAACCCATATACACAGTGCATGGGATTCTGAAGTTGCATTATCTGCCTGTGCTGAGCATAATGAAGAGGGAAAGTGCTCTCCAACTGTATGAAAAGAATGCATGATTGGTCATGATACTTTTGCTTTTCTGCCCATTGCAGCTGATGCTTTCATTCCAAGAAAATAAGCACTCAGTGCAGAGAAGGTGGTGGCTGAAGGTCTCCACCTGTTGCCATAGACATGTGGCTTTCTGGCAACATAGCACAATTCTCTGCACAGGCAATTGAACTACCAGGGCTAGTGGGCTAGATGGATGGAAGGAATTATATTTAAATGCCTCTCTAGTGTTTAAGACATCTCTAGGTGTCACTGATATTCCTCTGCCTTCCCATCTACCTTTTCTCCTCCTATGCTAAAACTTTCTGGGCCAGTTTCTGCTAGTGAAATTGCCATGGGATCTATTGGTCTGTTTTTGAGTTTGTTCTGTCTGCCTGAGTCCTGACCACATCAAGCTCTTGGTCTGTGGGCCACAGTTTAAAACAGAGAAAAGTGCTCTCATCCCCTTTCCTGTTCCACTTGTGGTTAGAGCAAAAAGTGTGTGTGCAGTATTTCTCATATTACATACAGTTTTATGAAGAAAAAGTCTGTTTTCTGATATTGAATCAACTACTCATTAAGGTCCTTACCTTTCTAACAAAAGATTTGTGCTCAGATCTTTTGCCTATTTTTGCATAATCAAAAATCTTTTACCCAGGAGAAAGACTAGCTAGGGTTGGTGTTTTTGTTCTTGGCATCCCTCTATGAACGCTCTGGTTTATTTTCCTTTTTTTTTTTATATTCAGAGGACAAGAACAAGAATGATTTCTAGTAAATGTGTTTTAGGACACTTAACAGAGAAAGGAGAGCTAGGTTACTATAAGCTGAGACTGATAGGTATCTAGAAATTGGAATATATATATTTTAAAAGGAAGAAAATAAAATTGTTACGTGCATGGGAGGTGGGCAAGATGATGGAAACCAACTGTGGCAGCTTGGTGGCCTGCCATTCTGCTGAAAAACGTAGGTTAAAATCTCTTGGTGAAGGAAGGGCATGGAACCAAAGTGGAGACAGATGAATGTCCTGACACTTGAGTGACAGCATACAGTCTCCAGACACATTTGTAAATGTCTTTGCGTGTATGATCTTATATTGCACTTGTTTCCATGTTTCCTACTGGCTAGCTTAAGCCCTCTCTTAGTCTGCTGCTGTCTGCACATCCCATTTCAGTGTGCCTGAGGCCTCTGATTGATTTATATGTTGCTGCCAGCTTGAGACAGCTAATGTGGTTATCACCTCCAGCTGTTTACCCCACCCTTAAAGTGCTAAATAACTCCAGTGGCTCTGCAGCTGGTTTACTAACAGCTCAAATATCAGTGCATGGAGAGTGAGGGGAAGCTTGGGTACAGTAACCTCATCAGCTGTCTGAAACCAAACCATCTCTTCTTGCCCGTCAGAAATGGTCGGCCCTCATATTGTGTGGGCCCCAGGTGCAAGGCAAAGCTTCCAAGTGCCCAGGTGCTTTTTCACATCTAGCTAGAAGCAAAATAATTATGTTTCATGGTGCTGAATGTAGCCCTTAAACTATTTTAATTTCTAAAATAAATGCCTGAACTCCATGCATAATGGGGAGCCCCATTATTTAGGTGCTGAACTGGTAAGCACTATTAAGATTGAGGAAGCCAGTTCTTGAAGTGGGCACATCAGAAATGTCCCTTGGAAATGAAACCATCTGAGGTTGGGATTCCGCTAGCTATACAGGGTTCTGCATCTGAATACATTTTTTAGACTCAGTTTATAGCTGTTACAGAATAACTGGTCACTCTCTTATAGAATAGAGCATCTCCTCTGGAAACAGATGTCCAAACAGGTGTCCACCTTAGCTGCAGACATTTTTTTTACCAGATCCCAAAGTGAAATGAGATGAATCTTTCTTATGGAAAATATGCAGAAGCTTACCTTGAGTTGCAGTGAGTCGAAATTTGGTTGGTCCTTGTATCCAGGCACAGCTCCTTTGTGTATCCTTCATGCCTTACACTTTTGAGAAAAGCTCTCATGTTTCTGAGAGCTGCCAGTATTTCTAGTAGCATGAGTTCCTTCTTGGTGTCCTCTGTGGTGGTGGAGTTGGAGTTGGGTGTCCTCCCTGCTCTGCGGCATGATAGGAGTACAGGATCTGCCCCGGGTTTGCATCTGCTGAGCCTCAGCCACGCACTTTGGTTGGATCCATTCAGCAGGGCACTGGGACATGGTCATTAAACAAGGGTAAGGACCTCGCCCTCCAGCTCTCCCTCTCCCCTCTATGTTTCAAGTACCACATAATACAAAATGCACTCTAGTTTCCCAATTGGACATCCTAATGTACCCTTTTGTACACCAACTTTACAGCTGACTCCAGCTCCTATAGAAAAGGAATATAGTTCCTCCTAGGCACCCAAACACAAGTTAGATTTCTCTAAGTGCTCATCTACTCCCTAGTGGTTTTTGTTTTTGTTTTTTTTTTTTTTTTTTTTTTTTTTTTTTTTGTGTGTGTGTGTGTGGTGTGTGTGTGTGTATCCAGAGTCAGTTGAATTAGGATTCTCTGTTCAGCATTGTGATTTAGAGGGAGAAGAGAAACTTCTGTGTAGAGATGTCAGCAATATCAATTGCTCTAAGTTTCCTGGAAATATCTAGCTCATGTGAACTGTGAAAAAAAACTGTGCTGTGAAGAGTTATTGGAAATTAGACTATCTGTATAGATGGAGTGAAATTCAAGCTTCCTCTTTATGTCCAGGTTAGAATCACAGAGGTAGGTGCACATAAATAATTTTTTCCTTGAGTTTTTCATCCAGTTATTTTCCATTTCTTTTTCTTTCTTGTTTACAGCCCTTGTGATTATATAACAGTTCTCAAGAGGAAGCTGCTAACAAGCCCATCTGATATTTTGTGCCAGCTGTTTCAGTGGAGGCGTGTTGGACTGGAGTGAACTCCGCCTTCTTTGACAAGGTATATTATATGAGTAACATCATAAAATATATTTCAAACAGAATGATAGTCTACTTAACCTCTTGGTACTCTTTTCATTAATTTCTTCTTGGATCAATTATTATGTTTTGCCTGTCGCAAAACTGAACTGAAAATTCCTCTGGGCATGGAATGTGTCATTCGTTTAAACAACATCAAGGCACACTGTTCATGTTTAATTATTACTTTAATGCAAGTGCTAAACTGTTTTCAGTCACATCTAACAAACATGTTTTCTGGGAATGGTTGCTGCCTGACCTCAATTTGGGGACAAGTTAGGCTAAGCCTTGAAATGCTGCATCAAGCTGTCATTCCAAATAGAAGTGAGCTCTGTCACCCTTGCATGAACTACATACTGTTACATGGATGGTCTGGTGAATGGAGAACATATAGACTGCCCACCAGAATGGACATTGCAGTATGCTGATTTATGATGAGTAAATTCTAGAGTAATCCTATTGATGATGCTTAGAAACATCTGTTGACAATGTAGCTAAGTAGCTAAGCTAGCAACATTGTATAGTAGATGAAAGCCACCTGTGGTGAAATCTTTTTTAAAATGTATATAAATATTTCTGTCAGTGTTGTTGCATCAGTTCTTTTTCAGCATATCCTTTATGGGATGACACATTTATGCGTAAATGGTCAGAATATTTATAGGCCCAGTTCTAGTGGATCGTGAGTATACGACTAAAGGTATTGCTCAAAAAGCCAGTTTGATGCAACATGTAGAAATGAAAGTCACTTTAGTTACTTTTAAAACCAAACCAGAAATGTTGTTCAGGATCAGGTGTATGGAGAAAGCAGGGTCTGAATTGTGGGTATGTGAGAGATTTGTCTGAAACAACAAAGAAACAGTAAAGAAACAATAAAGACAGGAAGCACTGTGATATCTTATACCTTGATAGACGTTGGATTTACTGTGTTTTGATGTATTCCATATAAATTACATTATGAACAATGAATTATGGTACATCCACAGTCATTTCATAAGGCTAATCTGTTCCAATTTTAAACTAAGTCAGAGCATACATTCACTTGACGTGGAATAGCATTCACCTTGTTCACATCTTAACAACTGACTAACACAATGTTGATAACACATATAAAGATTCAGACTGGACTTAAAACTTCACACAGGCAGGACTCTAAGGTTTGAGAATTTCCTTCGTATCTAAGAAAGATCAGTTGAGATAATTCATTATATCTGTTGGAAGATTTGCTTTGACATTTGAGACCAAATTTTGCTGGATTTCCCTTTTTCTCTCCTCCTTCCCTGCCTGTTTTTCATGTTTCTTCACTGGGCCTTTTTGAAGTCATAGCTGAAACTCATTGCTAATCTTTCTTGCTCATGACCTTGTGAGCAGACAGCAAGACCTGAGTAAAGTTTGACAGCTGCAAAATGTAGCATATAAATGCTAGAAATGTCTGCTTCTGTTACTGATAGCCAAAAAGCTACAACATACTCTAACAAGATCTTTTGAAAGAGGACTTACAAAAGTGAGTGACTGTGAAACTAGCTGCCTTTTGCCGCCCTTAATATAGAACCATTAAGAGTTTTAAAACTTCAGCTTAATGTTTTAGTTCATAGAAAGCTTTCTTTGTAAATTTCCTGGCCCAGAGTACTCTTGCTTTATGCTTTTGCCACAGTACTCTGTTGGTTTGTCCTGGTTCGAAGGAATAAATCCTGTTTTAAATTTCCTTGGTTTTTTTATAACAAAGGGCTCTGGAGGAAAGAAAATCTTTTAATCCTCCCAGCAATAACCTGACACGACCTTCTAAACACACTATTAGCTCAAAAATATCAGCAATATTTTGTAGCTGTCTTAAGAGCTTACAATAGAGATGGACCAAATATTGAGAAGAACGATTATACTTGGATCTGAGGAAATCAGTATCTTCAGGACAACTACATGTTTAAAAAGGGCTAAATGTTAAAAAGTATTTAAAAAGCTGCGTAGTGGAGTATTGTTCAGTAGTGGTGACATTGCACAGCCAGTTTTCTGCATGCTCTTTCTAGGCTTGTGATTTCCTCACTGTCTTAGCATGAATTACTTGCTTTCTTTGTGCTCTTTAGTTACTCCAGTCTGCTTTGTCCTTCCTTCATAAGAGCTAAGCTTTTAGAAGATGTTCAGAGCTATTTTAGTATGCTCAGTATGAGATATTTCTTAGAAAATTTGCAGGAAGAACCAATTTTCTGCAAATCTGGTCTCTCTATTATATCAGTGGGCTGCCAACTATTGCACATAGCTTAAATGTCAAATAGGTATTTTTAAAAAATTAATACTGTTGTATAAATGTAAGTACATTAACCTAACTCACATGGAAAGAACCTTATGGTACTAAACTGTCACAAAGTTCACTTAAAATTGAGGTCTTTGCACTTACAGGGAAGAGAGAGATAGGATGTACAGTAGAGAGAGATAAAGGTAGTAAGAGAAGATAAAGAAAAGAAATCCAATTGCTTTTGGTAACTTGGGTTAAAGTAGCTAAATTCAGAGATAAAAAAGGGTTTTAAAGCTAGAAGTTGCTTTGATACTTTTAAGTACTTCAGTTGTTCATTTTGGTATGCAGCAAATTCTTGATAAATCCTACAGCCATTACTTAATCGTTCTATTTTGAAATTTATGTTAAGAATCTGAACTAAACCTGGAGAAGTCAATGAGAGCCTTTCAGTTGCATTAAGCACATACAGCAAAATTATAGCTAGGATCACAGATAGACATGGGGAAGGTGATGCCACAAAGTGGGAGTTACCTAGACCCACACTGCTGTGTGCAGCACTGTCTCATTCTGACTCTGGAGAGGAGAGTGCTTTAAAAGTGTAGTTCCTACTTCAGATTCAATCTTAATGTAGTTGAGCAGTCCGAGAAATGTGAGCTTGGTTGGTACCAAGTTCCTGCTCCCAGATGTGAGAACATTTTGGGGGAAGGGAGTATGATATGGAAAAGTGTGGCAGGAGCAGCCAGACATGCTGGCAGCGTGGAGGCTAGAGCAGCAGTTCTTTTGCCCATGCCACTGGCTCTCACACAGCCATTATGGCCAAAGTATCTGTAACATCCCTGTTTGCAGCAGGGATTGACTGTAGTCTGACTATAGAACAGCTGCCACACCTTCAGCTTTGGCACAAGTTTCTGTCTTGGGCACAGTGCTTTTCAAAGACATGGGTGCGCTCATCTGTGAGCTAGCTGTTGATGTACAGGTTGGTCTCTAAACTTCGCCCGCTAGGAAGCTTGGACAAATGTGTCATCTACTCAACTTTCAGATTTTTTTCTGTTGAAATGTTTGAGGTCTACTTTGGTACCTGGCTGGTGGTGAATGCATTCTTCCCGCTCCTTTACAGGTTTGAAATACTGTGTTTTAACCAACACGCTAGAGTTTATTTAGATAGAAGTATGGCTGGGATGCACCTCTGTCCTGCTGATGTTATGAACTTTGCAAGAAAGACCTCTGTGGTCTCCTGATTATTCCCCCTTAGCTGTAGTGCTGCCCAATTCCCAGGCCTCACAGGTTGCTGCCGCAGGGAGGAGACTGTGGTAACTGTCAGATATGTCATTGATACAGTCCTATTTAATTAAAATAATATTCCACTAGTTTAAATTTCTCTGAACACCCTCAACTGTTTTTTTGTTCAGTTCCAAGTCCTCCAGCAGCCAGCACTGTGCCCAAAAAGCTTTCTGCTTTTCTTTGAGGGCCATGCTGCTGTCTTCACTAGCCTCTGTGGACCCATCTCTGGACTGTCTCCTTGCTCTCCTGCATGTTTTTTTACTTCTGACATGAAGTAGTTATTCTAAAAAGCAAAGTCCAACTCCCACTTCTGCATTTTACTCTGGGGGAGATCCTTCAGGCTGCGTGGCCCAGCTCCTCCTCCAGCTTTGTCATGCTGATTTGCAATTTAGCCTGTAGCTCCTATTGTTGTATTTATTGCTAAACAAAAGGAGTATTTTTTTTTTTTTTTTTGCTCTCTCACTGCTTAGGCTGAGTAGAAGATAGTTGTCGTGTCCACTAGCTTCCATGAGCTTTGTGGGTACTGCTGAACAGAGGTCTTGTGTGCTGAGCACCACCTCATCTTCAGCAAGACAAGATGCAAAGAGCTTGGTGGCCTGGCAACTTCAGTAATCTTCCCTAGGCTGCAAGCATTCATATTCCTCATGGCTTCAAATGGGCTGCTTATTCCTCACTGATTTAATGGTTGACTTCTGATGTTTTTAGATGAGTCAGATGTCTGTAATAGTGACACTACATCTATGTATGTGGTAAATGTGAGAGAAAACAGATGTGTATAAAAATCACTGAGTTTGATTTGCAACAGTGAACAGTATTTTGATTAATCATAGCTGTATAGCTAATGTGTACTACCTCTCTAGTGGGGGGTGGAAATTACTTCTTTCACACCTATGTGACTTCTACCTTCACATTTGTATTTTTTCTAAAACTCGACCTAGAGTACTCTAGAGTTAAATTCAGGTCTCTTTGTTTTAGGATTAATTGTACAATCACTGCAGTGTTTTAAAACAGTCTTGCAACCTTAAATTTCAACATTGAAAATTTCTGGCAATATCTGAACTTTGCTCATATGTAAAAGGAAATGAACAGTAGCTGCTGAGTAAGTGTCATACATCAGTTGTTCCCAAATAGATTTTTTCCAATACAATGTGAATTTATTTGGTCCGGTTTTATAAGTTGTCTCAGACCAAAGCTGAATCATTTGCTGAATAGTAGATGAAAGACAGAATCCTAATCCAGGCTTAGTCTGACACTCTGAAGCAAAGAATTTCAAAGTTCCAGAGATCAGAAGGCAAAGAATTTCGCAAATAAGTATCAGCCAACTCCTTTTCCTGTAAGACCTGAGGTTGAATAATGAAAGACCAGTGGCAGAAAGTAATAGCTGAACAAAGAAAAATGAAAGGTCTAACCCTATGAACTAGCTTTAAGGTCATGCACAGGATCTTACAAAATGAACACAAATTCATTACTGGAAGAAACCAGAATATAGTCTTTAACACAGTACGATATGTCAGATCTGATCAAGTCATATATATGTGCAAAATTCGAATAACTGGAGTTTGCTAGTGAAATTAACAGGCAGCGCAGAGAGGATTTCCCTAATGAAGCTTCTAATTTTCTGGAGATACTTCTCTGGATTGCTAACTATGATCTGGACAAATCATGAGACACTGGACAAATCATAGGCACTTTATTTCACAAGTTTCCGTGTGTCCTGTAACAGGATTTTGGGAGATGGACATATAGTCTGCAGTGCTGATGTTATTTTATTGACTCACCTACTCCAGTGTTGAGGTTTCAGGAACTCTCCTGCTCTGTAGAACCCTTTTTAAGCCCACATCCTCTGGCTTAAATAAAGACTATAGAATGCTCTAAATGCACTAACAAAGGTCTGGGTTTTTTTTAGAAGTATGTAAGATATAAGTCCAGTAAATGGGGACTGAGCATAAGTATTAGATATCTTTCATTTTTTGTACTTGATTTTGAAAGATGGTATTTCTCAGAATAATGTGAGAAGACTTGGAAAGCTGATTTATTCCTGTTGTAAGATAATTCTGCAAATGACTCAAAAGTGCAGTAATTTAGAAATCTTGAGGTTCTTTCTATATCTGGATTTATGCATTCAGCAAGCTTTTAGTGAAAATATATGAATCTTTGGTAATTACTTTAATTCATGAATAGAACTTTAACTGAGCTGAATACATGAATGTACCTTACAGTGTTCAGGCTTTGTGAGACATTTCTGCTAAATCGGCTTATGAATTTCCTTTTGATGAGCTTAATTGTTGACAGATTTTTCAAAAGCCAGCAACAGCTTTCTTTGCTAGCTAGTATTCACATGAACTGGATAGTCTTGTGAAGTCCTTTATTCAATTTGCATAATATTTTGCTTCTGCTGTAAGATGAAGCGAAATCCTTTGTAGTGAAACCAACAATGTTAGACATATTAAAGGCATCAATCCTAATCAAATAAAAGAAAATAGAAAATTCACCCTCCCAGCTTGTTCTTCAAGATTTTAGGATATGTACATCTAGAAAAAATACATATTTTTTCTTTTTTTTTCTTTTCAAAGAACTGTTATGAAAAGGGTCCTAAATAATGTGTTATCTCCTATTCAGAGAAGATATTTTACTGGTTACTTAAGCACATCTATAACTGTGCTTTTCATCTGGGATCCCTCAAGTCAGAACGCACTGCAAATGCTAATATATTCATTAAATCTAGTAAGCTTTTTTGTCCGTTTGCATGCAAGAGACAAATTTTATATCTTATATATCCAAACGTTTTATTGCTATGGTAATGTTTTAGAATTTCTACCTTTGAATACTATTCCCAGGGTGTATAGGTAGGAAGGGAATTAAATGTAAAATGAAGAGCGGGATCTCTGGCCATAATGATGGTTGTGGATGTCTGAGGGTAGTGAAGCATGCAGAAGCCTTGAAAATAACTGACCTTCTTTTCTCCCAAACATTTCTGAAGAATTCTTGCCCGTTAATAATGCCTTAAAAGTAATAAAGTCTGGGATCTGTGCATTCTAGCCAAATGAGGCCACATCCCACAGTCCTTGCTTTGTGTTTACTGGAGTAAATCTCCCATTTGCTCATGATAGGATGAGGTCTGAGAACTGAGTAAGGATGGCAGGATGGGAATTGGTTTGTCACCTCTGACAGTGGGTTTGCAAACTGCTGGAACCACAAATGAGCTCAGTGTTTAGCAAGATGGTGGATGCCAGCATGAAGCTTGGAAGTGCCAATTTTAATTAAAACCTGCACTTTCAGATCAAGTTCTTAGTTAACAATGGGTGGGAAATTCTTCCCACCATATAAATTTTCTGAATGCTGTATTGACTGGCAAGATGGGGGCAGCTTCTCTTTCCACAAAAGTACTGCTACCATCACCTCCCCCAGCCAGAAGAAAAAGACTACATTGTTTGTGGAAACTCTCCGTGTTCATGTCCTGCATTTCAGCCAGAACAGACAGATTTTATTTTGTCCTCCTCACCCCCCTTCCTTCATTGTTAACAATGGAGCAAACACATGAGATTAACATGGCTCTTGACATGGCTCAGTTGTTTGCCATTTGGAAACTACTGATTCCTCAGTTGTATAATTGTAAAAATTAAAAAAAAAATAAAGAAATAAAAATTAATCAAAAGATTCAATTATTTTCTGTTTATTCTAAAGATAGGGAGAACAGAGTAGTAGGGAGAGAAGGGGGGAGCCAACAACAAAAAAACAAATTAGTTTAAGAACCAGCATGTTCCCCTTACTTTAAGGAACACAGTAAACATTTCAAAAGTGCATGCCAGCTCATTATCTAACTCAGTCTTCACTGACTTCATGAAAAACAGCAGCAGTTAAGCAATTTTTGCCAAAGCAAATTTGGGTACATGTATTGCTAAAAAAAAATTTGACATCTGCTCCGTACAGGTTCCTTAATCTGCCACACAGAGGCAAATCAACATTTCATTGTTATCCTTTCTTTCTGATGTTTAGCCCTTTCTTGATTGCTCTTCTGGTCTGTTTTGAGCATTGTTTATCCAGAGCTCTGGTATGACCTATGACTTGAATTTTTGGCCAGAAATGAACCTCTCCAAGTGTTTAAAGATGTAGACACAGCGTCAGTAATATAATCTGCATGGTAATATCTGTTTGAAAATACCTCTTTTACAAAGTTTATTGTTTTAAAAAAATCTGTTTATGAATTCCTTCATTACCTAAGTTTTAAGAGTTAGTTTCTCATTAACTTCACTTATTTTTTTGATGAATGTTGTTTTGAATACTCCAGGTAGCTGCCTTTTTCATTTAATTCAGTGAATACTTGTAATTGATATTCAAATGTTTGTCATAATAATTTTAGTAAAGTCTGTATTCAGTTATCATTATTTATTGTGATAACAATAGATACAATGGATTCCATTAATTTGTTCACATTGATAAGTTACTAATTCTTTGGGAAACACATATCTTTCTATGTCCAAAGCATATTAATTCAGGAGTACTTTGAATCCTATTGAGCTTTGTTTCCTTTGGGAATGACTCTTCATTTAAGAGAAGTGCAAGCATCTGTCGAACAATTGTTTTATTAAATAGTTTAAAGCATATTTCTTTTGAAACAATGCAGGCTTTTTCCCATTGCCCTTACGTTGTCTGGTATGTGCATTACTGTCCTGTTGGCGTTGTCTTTTCTCACCTTAATACTTTCCATTCAAAATTAACATGACAATCTGTATTTTGCTTTAGAATCTATATGATTTTCTGCCATATGCTTAAAATGCAAAGTTGTGCAGTTTTGATAATCAGTTTCTCTATTGCACATGCGTCATATACTTTATGAGTAATGATTATTGAAAAAAATCTTACTTTTTTTTTAATATAGAGTTTCTGATTTCTTTTTTTTTTTTTTTTTTTTTCTGAAAAAACAACCCACACTGATTCAAAATTTCTTAATAAAATAGGGCATTTTTTTGGTAGAAAACAATGCCACTTTATGGTTTTTGAAATATTTATCTCATTTTCCTTTTGGGAAAAATAAAACAGCTGGTGAAATTAGGATTTCAAAATGGAAAAAAAAAAAAAAAAAAAAGCTTAAATAAACACCCATTTAATATTTTATCAAAATGAAGAGTGCTGATGAAATTTAAATATTCTCATTTTCAATAATTTTCTACTATTTCAAATATTCTCTTTGCTATTGTTGAGATTTGAAATCCTCATGAAGACCAAGCGACAGAATGTAAGTTTCTCTTTCTCTCTCTTTTTTTTTTTTTTTTTTTTTTTTCCTTTTGAGGTAATTACATCTGAAATAGAGTATATCAATAGTATATCAATACATTCCAATATTTATTTCATGTCTTTCTTTGTTGTTAAGCAAAGGTTGCTTCGCTTCTGTGGCGCAGTTACTTCAGTTGATGCAGTACAATCTGGAAAGTACATTTACATGGAAAACCAAAGTATTGCACTTTGACTACAGTTTTTATATCAGTAGAAAGGACATTGGTATTGCCAGTAGAAAGAAAAGTGAACTTTGACTGTAAGTGTTAGTCAGAAAAATGTCAGAGGAAGAGCATAAGGACAGCAATCTGCAGTTGGACCAAAGGTTGTTCCAAGACTTTGTATCTGATAGCAGTCAGCAGAATATCCTTATGGACAAGTGTAAGAAGCAGGGCAAGTATAGAATTATTCCTTCTGCTGGTATACTTTCCCAGCTTCTGACAGTCAGCAGTTTTGGGACTCCCTGTGCCGAAGTTGCATCTTAACCATTGTTTTTGTGAACCACTGAGTGCAGAAGCAACAATAGGAACAATGGATCACTGTTCAGCATCAGTGGCAACTGCGCTTAGAAATAAGTAACAGTGCCACTTCAAAATGCTTGACATGGACAACAGAAAGAGAAGAGCCAGGAAATTATAGCAGCACTAAAGCCACACCCATGGCCAGAGGCAACATCTCGCAGCTCCTCCAAGTTGTGAACTCCTTGGGAGCTGAGAATCCCTACCGTGCAGAGAGGTAGGAGCCAAACTCACCCTTATATAAGGCAGCAACTTCTGCCCCTGTGGGTTCTGAATGGGATTTGGTCTCTTGTTCTTCAATGTAGGGGTTCCTCCTTTTGTTTTTCTGCTGAGATTCCTGTTTGGTGAGAGTTGGGTGACCCTGCCTCATGCTAGTATGAGATGCTACCGGTCAGCTCATCTCTGGTAGTTGAGAGAGACTTCCACATTCTCTGAGTCACTGTCTAGTTCCTGTTCAAGCATCTGTTCCATGTAGGAAGGCATAACTTGTTATTTCCTCTGACAGCGCTCTTTAGGGGCTGTCAGCCTAGATCCCCAATAAACAGATCTGCAGTATTCTTCATGCACAATGATTGTCCTCATATGTGATCAACTGCATGTTTCTTCCTACAGTGAAGCATCTGAAAAGTGACAGAGCCTGAAGAAGAAGAGAATTCAAAATCTGGTGCTGAATTTTCTCCTGGACCAGTCTGTTCTTCTGTATCCATGAACAAGTAGGTTCCTGCAGGAGTAGTTTAGAGGCCTCACCATTAGCCAGTGTCTCTGCACAGTGCAGCTACTCCTGCTAAGATCTTGTGTGTATTTTGTACACTGTTCTTCTCCCTGTAAAGTAAAAGCACACTGAGAGATAAACTAGAAGATCCTGTCTGTTGTGAACACAGCACAGGAAGGCAGTTGTGATGGATAGGAGCTGAGCTGTGACCATGCTGCAGGTAGCTCCTGCTCTGTTTTGGAGACAGTATTGTGTATGCTTTTTTTGTTTTTCTTTTTTTTTTTTTTTTTTTTTTTTTTTTTTTTTTCTTGAAGATAAACTGCAACATTTTAACTTTAAAAGACTGTTTACTTTTGCAGTGTTCAGGGCTGTGGCTACATGATTAAACTCTCATGCCGATCTTTAACAATTCAGGGGTCAATGTTTTTGAAAGAGTAGGAAGGATTGCAGTGGTATAAAACAGTGTGTCTGCTGCTCACTTTGCTGAAGAAAGCTGCAATACTGAAAGAACAGCATTTATACGAGTAAGTCAGTCTCAGGGAAGTAGCAAAGTACAGTCTGTGAATTACACTGTTACACACAGATACACAGACATCTGAAGAGGATTTTTCTCTTCTTTTGTTTGTTGTTGAAATATGTATACAATTTCTGTACCTGCTAAATTTTTGGCCAAAAAGCTCATTCTTCTGAAGACTAAACTAAACCACATCCTTCAAATGTGAAGGGCTGTTGCATTAAACTATTGTGCTTTCTCCAGAGAGTACGGTCAAATGAGGACAAGCTTGCAGCAGGTGCAGTTTCCTTTTAGGAAATTGGTGGTGTTTCTGAATTCTGTAATGTGTTGGTTTTAGTCTCTACAAAATACAGCTTGCATTTTGTTATAACCAGTAAGGAATCATGCATCTGGAACAGAGTAATATATCTGAGCAATTTGTGACATTTAACTTCAATCTGGTTGTGATCCTCTGGTTGCTTTCAATTTGAACAGCACAACAAATGTGTTCCCAGTCTCCCCTTTTATCACTTATTGTATCATTTAACGAAGGTCACAGTGACCCAGAGGAAGCTTAAGAGGAATGAGTTGTGGTGGACCTTGGAAATGAAGTTTGACTGTGATTATGGTGGGCCTGAAGCCAGGGCCAGTTCTCCAATATGCCTTCTGTTTGCACTCCATTTTTCTGGGCTGAATTCAATCATGCAGCCACATCTGTGGATGAGGCAGAAGTCTGTGATAATTAGTACATCTCTCTTCTCTGATGAGTTTTTCAAAAGAGTACTTTAAATTGTTTACTTTTTTTGTGGTTGGATTGTTGAATTAATAACAAAAATGTAGCCACTGTTGAAAAGAACTATCTTCACATGAATGTCCAAATGTTCAATTCTGTGCTTGCCTCTTGCAAATCTTCTTGTGATAAACATTTTCTTAATTTGGACTCACTTGGTTGTATCAGTATATTTTACACCACGTTGTAAATTTATTTTTTATTATCTGTTTAGATTTTTGATTAACACTGCCTGATTAGACTAATGCAAAGAGTCATAAATGCTGGTGTAAGCTGATATTCACTTAATGATTTTATAGTGTTTCTCTTTCATGTAGTGACTACTTTTTTAACAAATAGAACATTTCAAAACTATAAAAACTTGTAAGGTATGAATCAGTAGAAATCTAGTAAGTCTTCTGATGGTAACTTATTTCATGGTTTGAATGTGCCAGTGTTATCTGATTTCCAAAAGTTTTCAGATATAAATCCTTAATAATAACATTGAATTCACAGACTTCTGTAGTATGCTTTATACAAGCCTTTGCAACAGTACAGAGTCTATTCCATAAGGTAGCTGTAGCTGTGTATGTATAGGCAGTGTTATAGGTTGTATAGGTGTTAGTGTTTCCAGCTATAAAATAGACAAGGTCAATCTTTTTTTTTTTTTTTTTTTTTTTTTAAATAGTGTCCCCATCTGATACTTTTTTTTTCAAATGCAGAGGTTCTCCTGGCTCCATTATAAACCTTGGTTCTGAGTTTGTTAAGTTGTTTGTGCTCAAATCTTACTATTTTATGGTCTGCTATACTGTTGTAATGGTTAGCATTTCTCTGCGTAAGAAATAATCTGCAATTCCTAAGAAAGATGTATTCAAGTACATGGCATACATTACTTATGCTGTATCCACTGAAAAATGATTGCATCTTTGATAGATAACCTATGTTCTGCCTTGTCTCCAGTTGTAGTCAGCACACTTTCTCTATTAATTCTGTTACTGTTTGTGCTATGGAGGTCTGGGAAAGGAGTTGACAATATGATATACTTATCTCACTCAGTTTCTCCCCATGTGTCCATTCAGTGCACATTTTCTGCATTTCTCTTTTCTTTTATATTGCAAATACATTTGCAGAATATTGATTTTTTTTTTTTCCCTATGAGTTCTCCAGTGCTGTTTTCGGTTCCTGGCCCAAATTATAAATAGAACAGATTTCTTCTTTTCTTTTTGTACTTCCTAGTATGCTATGAGTCCATAGGCAAATCAGCATGTTACTATTTTATGACTTGGGTTATTGTACCCCCAGTATATCTGGTACTTTCCAGATGTAGGGGCAAGTTTCATCTATGCTGTATTTAGAGCAGGAGATTAGACTAAAGGAAAGTGTATTCGCTGACCTTAATCTTGGCATTCCTACTGTTGCTTTATTCCAATGAAAAAGGAATACTTCCACATGTTTAGTAATATTATTATCAGCCATTTGTTCCAGATTTATACACTATAATAAACTGGAAAATAAAGCCATTCCAGTTTGGATTTGACATGGAACCCAAACACAAGAGACTGAATCAGTCACAGGAAATAATACCTGAAGCTTTACATTTATGCAATCTTGAAAGACAAACTTCAAAAAGTAAAAACTACAAGCTCATGTGAACTCAGCTGCTCAGCAGTAATAAGCTGTTCAAAACATTTTTGTATTTTTTTCCTTAAGTTCCTCTTTCAAAAGGAAATCCTCTAGGGATTATTTAGCCTGAAGTACCTGTATGGGAACTGCTGAGTCACGGCCTGAACCTCTGATTAATCACCTGAGGTGAGCCTTGAGTCAGCCAGAGGAGCACAGCTGAAGGCAATTCACCTGTGCTGCCGGAAGGGGTGGAGCCAGGCTCCACCCCTCCTGGACCTATGTAAGAGCTGGTTACCACAGGGGAAGGATCTCTTCTGGAGATCCTCCTCTTTTGGTATCTTCTAGTGAGCTCAACCCAAGGGTAAGCTCTTCTACTTATTCTCTGTTGTGATCCTTGTTTGCTTTTGCCTTACTCTTTTGACTATATTGCAATTATAACATCTTGGTTATACAGTACCCAATTTCTCTTCTAAAAGTAAATATTCTTATTTTGTTGTTACATATAATCATAAATATAAATATTTTGTTTTGCTTCTAACTGCATGATATACATCTACTGTCTGCACAGGAAGTACAATTACTGCTAATGCTACCATTATTTTCTAGTCATGTTTCAAATTTGAATTTTTTAAATCCAGATTTTTGCACAACTTTTTCTGTCCATGCACTTAGTTCTGTTCACTATTGTATGTTAGATGGAACAGAAAAATTCTTTAAGAAGTCATAAACTACATTAAAACTTATTACCAGTTGGGTTCATAAAAGCTATGGGACAAATATATCAAATCATATTCATATATTTTTCCAAAACATTTCCTTTTCTTGCCTCCCTGCTTTTTGTATTTGGCTACAAAATAAACTGTTTTCTCTAATCAAAGTAAGAAGATACAGTATTCATAGTTTCAATATGCAACGAATAATGAACAGTTCAATTCCTGTGTTTCTGTCAAAATATGGTTAGCTTGTAGTGAATTTATGACAAATGTAACTCTGCAGTTGTTTTCTGTTAAAAAAAAAAAAAAAAGTATATAAAAATATATTGGGCCCTTTATTTACCAGCATCACGCAGAGTAAAAGTTTAACTATCATGTCAAGGCTATCTTCCTAACAACACAACAGGCAAACTTAAGTGAATTGGAGAGCAAAGTACACATGTGTTTGCAACTAGCATTTTCATAAGATAATTCAGATTTTGCTATGTACTCTTGCAATGGCACTAAGCAAGTTGATTGGTGTAGAGATGCTGAATAGAAAATGGAGGAGGAATCATGTTGTGATACCTTCCTGCTTGAGTCATAGCTCCTTCACCATACACTGGTAAACCTTCTATCCAAAGACAACTAGTTTATGCCTATTTATTTAGTCTTATTACCCCTATTTCAAACAGTGTGTAAAATGCAAAACGTTAGGATTCCACTTATGTACGAGTGATCTGACTAGTGGCTTGGCCATTATGTGGTAGCCAAGCTGGCAATCTCACAGAAAATTGAAGTCACTCCTAGTGGGCTAGCAAAGTTACTTTGCAATGAAGAGAATTTAATGAAACAAAACCTGTCCCTGTTAATGTCAAAGATAATTTTGCTGTTGACTGACTCTGACAGCTTAAGGATTGTTATAAATTGTTTCAGTATCTCTTAAGATCCGTTTCTTGAGAGCTTTTTGTGCAAGCGGGTCCCTTCTCCAGTATCACTGTAGCTTGCTGGACCTTGCTATGCAAGGGTTCATGTGGGTGCCAAGAGCAGCTCAATGGAAACTCCTTTTTTTTTTTTACCACAGAAACACGTTATTTCTGAGAATACAAATTAAATGATGCATAATGGTATCTGGTGTATAATGGTATCTGTTGACGCGGTAGAAGGAAGGGATGCCATTCAGAGAGACCTCGACAGGCTGGAAAGGTGGGCCTGGGTGAACCTGATGAGTTCAACATGACAAAGTGCAGAGTTTTGCACTTGGACCGGAGGAATCCCAGGCATCCGTACAGGCTGGAAGGAGCGGTCCTTGAAAGCAGCCCTGAGGAGAAGGACCTGGGGGTCTTGATAGATGAAAAACTTAACATAAGCCAGCAGTGTGCCCTTGCTGCTAGGAAGGCAAATGGTATCCTGGGGTCCATCAA